GGGGAGACCCACTTTATTTAAGGTGTCTGGAGTGCATTGGTGACACATAGCAAGTGCACACGCACCCCCTGAGATTGGTGGTGCACCCCCTGTGATTGGCTGCTGCCAGCGGTGCCTGCGGGTGGTCATGGCTTGCTACCTCTTCACTGCCAGAACTGCCATCGGCGTCTGTGGGTGGTCACTGATTGCTGCCGACCGCCAGTCAGCATTCCCCCCCCGGCCGACATTGCAGCCACCTGTGGGCAGTCATCGTGCCCCACCTCCAGCCTCTGGGGGCACACGTCATTCATGCTGGAGTGTCATGTATATCAGCATCCCCATGCTAAAAAATGGCAGCAGGGCTGCTTTAACTAAAGCTCATCAAATTAGTTTTAGTTAAAGTGCTCCCATGGCCATTTTTCAGTGAGGGAATGCTGATAAACGTGATGCTGGAATCGGCTGGAGCACAGTAATTACCACACTCCAGCAGACTCAATCGCAATTACAGTGCATCAGAGCAGCCTGACTACACGTGTGTAGGCGCCTATAGAGATTAAGGCCATAGGAGTGCTAGCTACTTGACCAGGTATAAATCTGAGGGTTAAATACTTTGTGTATGTTTCCATGTTCTCTTAGGAGTTCTCACCCATAAGTGAAGATTAATGCCACTATGGATACCAAGCTATTAGCTGTTCTGTTCAGACTGAATTAAAATTAAAAGGGGCTGCCAGTCAACATGCCATTGACACACAAAGTATTAAAATAGATGAGTGATGAGGCACCAAGTATGGAAATAAATGTTTGTGTCAACACTTCATGTCTCATCAGCCATTTATTTCAATTCAGTGGAGCTGGATGGTGAGAATAATGGCAGGTCCTAGACAAAGCTATTAACTGTTGCTGCTGTTGTAAATTAATATACTCTGTAGCCTTTGGGTTCCCCCACCACAGGGACGTATGTTTGTAATTTAAAGACATTATGAAGTAAATCGGTATTTTAGCAACCTTGTTGGCCTGCTAAAGAGAGAGCAGGCTGAAGCTTGTAGCTTTTGCCTTAGTACTCTTTAACACAACTGCAAAAGGTTGTGGTTTGAGATCTGGGATTCTTATGACAAGGGTGCCTTGCTTTCATCTTAGCTGCCCTAGGTGTAAATTCAGGATAGCAACAGTGTAGGCAGCATGGTTCTTCCAGACTTACACCCATGTACAGGGGATCACAAACTGGTTCACAGAACACAAAGGAACTCAGGGGTAACTGAGCGAAGTATCAGCTCACTGCAACCACATGACATGGGGGTGCATGTCAACACCTGCATTTATGGTCATATATCAGCTATGCAAAAAAAATGTTACTGCAACATTAAGGGAGAGCCTTGGACTGCCTATGAGCAAGAACCGATGTGGGGGAATGGGAAAGATTGAATTCTCTATCACTTTCATTTTTTAAATCAAGACTGAGTATGCAGGAACATTTAGAAGCCAAGGTTTCCATTGCAACTGAATCTCAGTTCATTATACCCATGTAATTTTATTCTGTGGGCCATTCAAGAATTTTTATGTATGCCATTGGCTTCAGTGTCAGACCTGGAGCTCCCATTGACACTAGTGGGAGTTGAAGATGTTGGCCCTACTGTCAGTAGAGTTAGTTGTCTGTCTCTGGGTATGTCTGTGTTGCTTCTGTAGCACTCCTGACAGTGCTGCCGAGAAACTGGCCCCTTACCAACTTGTTTCCACTCCCAAGATCCCTGCCTCTGACAGAGGCAGTTCAGGGTGAATTCAGGGCAGCTTCCCTGGCTCACTTCTGGGATTGGCCCGTGCAGAGGGAGTAGGTGAGGCATGCTTCTTTGCTGTGCTCTCAAGAGCACCATGGAAGTGGGATAGACCTGCTCCATGGAAAGCTCCTTGGGAGCTTTATGTCTTATCAGAGGTGCAGATGCCCATCCTGGGAATGCTCCGCCAACATGCAGCAAGCATCACTGCAGCAGCCCTATTCCACCCATACTCATAAGGCAGAACTTGCAGGTCTCAACTGTAATATGGCTCTTCCCATAGTGTAGGTCTCTTGCCTAGAACTTCTTGGGTGCTCAGGAGAAGTGCACCCGATTCATTTTACAGTAAAACCTCAGCTTACAGGTACCAGCAAATAAATAAGACATGTGCAACTCCCATATCAATCACTGTCTGTCTATGACTCGTGTGCCTGGTGTGTACTGCGAAAAAAACAAATATTTTAACCCATACTGGAAATTCCTGTTGAAAATAGTCAACTGGTCATAGCTGACTGCTGGGTTCTGGCTGCTAGTCTTGTGTATCAAGACCTTTGTGCCAGCAGAAATCATAGGATCAGAGGAAAGTAGGGCTGGAAGGGACCTCATGAGGTCATCTAGCCTAGCCCCTGCTCAGGCTAGATGAGCAGGGGCTAGATGAACAGGGGCTGACCTCAACCAAAGGTCTGTGTATAGAAACACAGAGCCCTAGTAAGATGAAAGGATCAACCTGCATATCACTCCTTGCAGGGTCAGGGCTGAACCAGGGCTAGTGGACACCAGCAGGGACCAGCAGGATGGCTTTTCAAAAAATGTTGAATGGTTTTTAATGAGTCCTGGGAGAAATTTCCTCTATGGAACATGTTGTCATGCATGAAGTTTGAAGCTTGGAATTGGACTCATTTGAAAGTTAGTGAAGGCTCAGAGAAATCAAAAGCTGAGCTTATTTCCCAATGTGTGAAAAATTCATTTCTTAAAAATAAAATAAAGTGCCAACACTTTGGTTAGCTAAAAAAAGGATGGTTGGTGTGTGTGTGTGTGGGGGGGGGGGGGGTTTAAATTGTGTTCCTAAAAAGGGTTACTTGTGGGATGAGAAGTGGCATGACACATCTGAGACTGAACGAGAGAAAAAGGATCTGAGAAGTCTGTAGGAGCCTGAAGAGAAAGGCTGAGAATAGTCTGCTCTTCATCTCAGGGCAAGCTAGACAGATCAAAAAAGGAGCAGGTAATACTGGGAAGCCAGGGCAAGTTTACAGCAGTGAGTAAGAAATGAGGCATTTCCATATCTGAGTCAGCATCAGGGAAGCAATGACCATCCTCTGCCAGCCACTCCTCATGCAGAATATAGTAGGGCCATATAAGACTTCATGAGTGTCACCATCCTACATGGCACGGTCAGGGACCTAGGCTGGTGGTTGATACATGGAGCCATCTCCAAGGGTGTGCACCTGGTATGCTTCACAGACACTCCTGACACCTGCTCTGACAACAGAGGACAACCCTGGCGCACGCTTACCTTGAATGCGCCAGGCTACAGCCCCTCCGCTGCCTCCTCAGGAAGCTCCACCTGAGGTGGCCACACTTCTCCCTGCACCTTTCCTTTTATGCAGTCCCCATCTGTGGCCCCACCAGGTTCCAGGATTTCCTGGTCAACCTCCTCTCAGCTCTGGCCAAGCTATCTCAACAGGAGGGAGGCTGCGGCCAGAGGAGGGGACCTGGGCAACTGTGGGGCCTTTCCGTGTCCCTCATCCATGCATGTCCCTGGGCAGTTTCACCAGGCTGTGTCCACAGGCTCCTCTGCATTGCTGGAGAGGCTGGGGGTGCTGGCTGGCGTGCTCTGCGTGCCCTTGGAGCACTCCTTGTAAACCTGTGACCTGCTCCTGTCCCCATTTTCTCTTTAGCTGTCCCAGGCAATCAGCTGTCAGGCCTCTACTGGCCTCCCCCCTTTGGGGAGGCTTCTAGTTCCCGGGTGGGCCTAGGCCCCGCTTCTCTGGGCCTAACGAGCAGGCCTGCAGGGCGCCTCTCCCAGGACAATGCTCGGAGCAGGGCAGCCAGCGCGGTGGCACCGGGGGGCTGGGCGCTGTGCCCCTCACCCGCGGCGCCCCCCGGCGGGAAGCGAGAAGCCAGGCTCCGGGACCAGCACCTGCGCGGGCCCGGGCGGGCGGTGCCCCAG